GACTAAACATAACACGAATATTGCATGTCATATCATATTATGCATCTTTGATTTTATTTATAGTAGTTTAGGATATATTTATGTTAAAAGTCTAACAATTAAACTCAAGCATTTAAATTTTATGGTTATGTAATTATGGGAGTTAAAAAATATACAATAGCTCTTAAATTTTTATTAATTATTCTACAAAAAAATTTTATGATTAAATATGAGAAGTATAGATCATGCTTGATATTCAAATTTACAAATATAATCGGAGAAAATAAACAGTTTAAAAATTCTTATTTATTCAGATAATTGATGTAATGTATATTTTTGATATACTTTTGAATTATTAGTTAGGGTCTGAGCACAAGAATTGTCATAACGCTTATTTAGAGACTTAAGTTGTAGACGTAAGTAACGCACAAACTTTGGCGTATGACGTATGACTTATTGCCATGTTCTCCAACAGAAAAGTCGTACGTCATACGCCAAATCTTGTGCGTTACTTACGTCTACAACTTAAGTCTCTAAGTAAGCGTTACGACCGTTATTACAATTCTTGTACTCAGACCCTTAATTTGCATAAAGTACTTACACACTCGTGGCGAATTCCCAGCGGACGCAGTCGCCACCGCGAAAATCGCTAGTACCGCGAATCTGTGCAGCATCTTGATGATGGCACTTTGCGGATTATGATATACGATTTTCCCTCAAAAAATCAGCGAAATCTAGAAGATAAGGCAGAGTCCAGGTGAGGCCGCAGACAGATGATCGGCGACGACTTGTCAAGACCGTCCGGAGTAGCGGTCTAAGTACGTCCTTATATAGATGCGTCTTTTTCTTCCTCGTACTTCAGCTCGCGAAAGAGAAGTAGGGGGAAGGAGTTTCGCTCGTTTTCCTCCTCTCTTCTTCTCTATCGCTTCGCGATCCCCGTCGTCGTTCTTTCTTCGTTCGTTTCGCGTAATGACGCCATCGTTCATTATCTATTCGATTTCTCGCCTCTCCCGCGACAATGGCACTTTCAAGCCTCGTCGCGTATCTCCCTTCAGGAAAAGACAGATTTTTGTCCCAGTGCTACAGTGTTTTGAAAATTATTATTATCAAGTGCAAGTATATATATACGTCAACAGACATAATTTTTCTTTAAATCCCAAAAGCGATATAATTTCGAGCTTGGATTATATTGCTTTTGGAACCTTATAATATACAGGATGTGTCTTGAAAAGCATCCAAGAATCATATAGCGTTATTTTTTATCAAAAACTAAATCTAAACCTTATGAATCATTTTGTAATGTTGAAGATTAATTACTTTTATGTCAATTTATTAAGTATTATATTTGTATGTTAATTATACGGCGATGTAATAAAAATATAACGTATTTAGAGTTTGTTTTATCTAAAGTATAGGAAATTAAATAAATAATCTATTTTTCGATCTCAATTTTGATTTTGATTTAACTTAATTTTAGCGACATTGTATGGTTTATAAGTCCCATCATACATAGTCACAAATTAAAATAAGCTTTATTTAACTGTAACACAAATTTATTGGGACATATATTAATAATTTTTGTAATCAGAAATATCTAATAAAGGTAACAAATAGTCTTATTAATTAAAATAATTGTAATTAACAAATAATATTTAACAAGTAATATTTCAATTTCAGATGTCAAGAAAAAGAAATGTTATAGCATTTAATTAATTTGTAATAAAAAAAAATTATTCCGGTTTCTGATGAGAGAAATATCACTCTGTTCATAAAAAATGCTATAGGAGCTAGATATCGCTGAATCCTCGGTCGGACTTGGCTCGACTGCGGTCGTTAACATTCTCGGTAATTTTCCAGGATGGGTTCCTTATCCATTATCGTATGGATGGGAAACCTTGAAGCGATATTTTTCCATCAGTCCGGTCCTCGTTTGCCTCCTCGTTTCAAGTTTAACCCATGTCCTCGGTTTTGTTTGGCGAATTCGCGTCCTTCGCTCTTCGAAGATGCGACACACGCAAACACGCATTGTCATGTTAAAATGCACATCGCGAAGTTAAAACAGCGTGGATCTTCGTTGACACAAGGAAAGTACTGGACAGTAATTCCCCCGTTATCATTACGACGATGGTTCAGTTCTTTTCTTCTCTTTTTTTCTTAATAGATCAATAAAAGCTGAATAAATAACCATGTAATGTTCACGCTTATGTTTTATCGCTACAATGGCACTCGATAAGTATGTAATCTCTGAACCGCGAGATATAAATAATATTAACATGATTGCTTTATATATATATATACAGTGACGTGCAAAAGTTTTCGGTCAGTGACATTTTGTATATATTCTAATTTATATAAAAAAAGCCTGACAAAATTTTAATCATCGGGTATCAGTACAAGATGTGGGTAACAAAATCTTATACTAACACATTTGATAATGATTAAAATTTTATCAGGCTTCTTTTTATAAATTAAAGTACAAAATATCATTGGCTGGAAATTTTTGCACGCCATTGTATATATACGTATATAGTGTTACTGCATGAGTTTATAAAGAATAATCTATTAAAAAATAAATTTATCAATACGAAAGTGCAGTTAATTGGTTGTCTGCCAAGTAACATGAAATTGCATTATGTAAACAAAAAAGTTTTCATTAAAATAGCAATTGATAATAATCAATTGTTACTTTAATGAAAACCTGTAAACAGAGATAACAATCTTCCGCGATAAAGACATTGAGAAATTAATTTAATTCATTTTAAATTATTTTTTTAAATTTTAGTCTTCAGAATTCTGAAATTATGTGAATGTTTAATAAAGTTAAAGATTGATAATTACAGCTTACTCTAAATTTTTAACGTCAAACTCATTTTCAATAATAAAATTTATTGCAATGTCTATTTCCTTTATTTACATAGTGAGTAATTTTCGTGTCTGTGACACGACAGTCTTTTGCGCAGTGTTCATTTTCATAACAAGAGAGTGATAATTTAAAATAACTGCAAAATAATATTTATAGTCTACCTATCAGTTTTTCAAACGGATTATATAAATGTAAGAGTAATGAATTATTTTTTGTTTTTTGTTGATGTAGATTCTTATCGATAAATCATTATACAACTCACGGAAGCACGAATGTTGATGTGAAGACACTATAAATGCGTGCCTGATTGATGATCAGCATGTAATATCATGATTCACTATCTATCTGTATATATCTTAGCATGTGCCAAATTGGAATATCCTTCGTGGCAGACGAACCGTTAGAGGAAAAAGTATTTTAGATCATTGCAAATAGTGGACGACAATTCATGATTTTGCATTGTGGAAAGTAAAAATCCCAATGTTATAATTAGGATTAGGCATGTATTTGAAATACTTTTATTTAAAACACAGTATTTGCAACACAAATGTATTTCGTATTTTGTATCTTGTATCTTGTATTTCAAATATTAAGATTGACAATTGAGCAATCTTATTATTTGAATTACAAAATACAAAAAACTTTCGATTTTAAATAAAAAAAATACGTAATATTTTCATATGCTCCGTTGAAATACAAAATACAGAATACAATTGTACAGAATACAATCTTACAAATACTGTTTTTCAAATAAAAGTATTTCAAATACATGTTCAGTCCTGGTTATAATATCGTTATCATGTGGTCTTGCCAATAACATCTGTCGTGATTTATCTCGCGATAGCTCTCTAATCACTAAATAAAATATTTCGACAAGGAAAGAATATCGGTTATAGTTTATTTCGATAGTGATGTTAATATTGCATGATATCACGATTGCTTCTGTAGCAAGATTTCTTTCTAGGAAAATAGTAATAAATAATAATAATGCTGATACGAACAAATACGATAAAATAAAATATCAAGTATTCTGTATTCTACAATACAAACATATAGTATATAAACAAATTATAAAAAATTATCATCCCTTAGAAAAGAAGTAAAAGATACATTTTAGCTAAAAATTTTATTAAAAATTTTAATTATTTTTGAAAAATTTATCGATAAATTTTTTAATATTAGAAAAAATATAGTATTAAACTGTAACAGAGGTACACATATTTTTTGTAACGCTAAAGGAACATATGGATTTTTGGACTTACTAAAACTTTTGCTAGTAATTTTAATTTCTTTAAAAATTTTTCTAGTTGTTCAATTATACATTTCTAATATATTATATAATACAAAGCTATTTGAAAAACACAAATAAAGTATTGATGTAATGTATTGCTTCTAAATCTTATTAGATAAAGGCCCGTCTTCATAGTTCATTTTTATTTTAAGACCATCTTAAGTAATATTTTAAGATGTTAATACGGATCTGTGACTTACTTATGACGTCGTAAGATTATATTTAAAACGGTTTTAAATATAAAAATCAACAATGAATATCGGCGTTAAAATTTTTTTTTCAGAAAACACTATTTTTTAAAATTATTTCTAAGGTCACCAAAATCTATATAAGTTCCAATTATGACTCACATCATTTTTAATTAATTAGGTCAATTCAGTCCCTCTGCGGCTTTCAAACAAAATAAACAACTGTATCTTTAAATATAGTATGAGTATGTATCTTTTTTTTATTTTTACTAAGAAATGTTCAGACGCAGTAATACGACTTTCCTTATCCGTTTCTCGGAACCAATAATTTTCCTTCATTGCACGTATAAAATTTTTCGCAAGATCGAGATCGAAATAATAAGCATCAATGACAAACGTAATACGAAACTATCGTCATTATCATACATATTACACATGAATTTACATAAATCTACAATTCAGTGAACCAACTGATTAAGGATACATTTCATACTCAGAGCACGGTATACTCTGTTAATAATCTTCTCCATGAATGCATAAATAGAACAATTTTATTATTCAGCAGAAAAAAACAGTTTTTTATAAATTATAATAATGTCGAGAAAATTAAATCAACATTAAGCCGCAATGCTGACGTTCTCGATACTCGTATGAGATCTTTTTCCTCGACACATGAGTACTATGCGGTTTTAAACTGCAAGGTCGGATACGTTCGCAACTTTAAAACCTCGAGGTGAGCATGCAAGATTAGCAACTGCTCATAATTAGTCTCTGCTTTCATAACGAGCTTAGTACGTCTCGCAATCGCCGCAAGTCTTATCTTTCGAGACTCTTCGTCCCTTTTGCGATGTGGATCGTCAAGCAACCTGCGACGCTTCTCAACGTCCGACGACTTTGTTCTGATCTCCTGTGCTATCTTATCGTTCTTTTTCTTCCACTTAACCATGCACAGCTTTGCTTCTTTCAGACGTACTTGCTCTAATTCTAACAATTCACGAAATTTCTGGAAATAGATTTTAAATTTCTCGAATTACTTGTAAACTTGTTGAGTTTTAATAATTAATAATAAATCGGTACTCACGTTTCGAAATATTCGCAAATTGGCTTGCATCTTTTCGTAATCTCTTTCTAAATTTACACTACAGGGAGAGTTGGTCAAAAATTCGAGCACATTTCTCGTGATCTAAAATTACATAAACAGTAGTTTTGTGACATATTAAATAATTGTATTATGATAGAATTGTATTGTGAATGGAAAAAAACAATTTTGTTGAAGTTTGTAAAAATTTAGCTACATGTAGTTAAATTTTTAGATACGTTAGCAAAACCGTTCTTTCCATGTAGAAAAAATATTACCATAATAATAATATAATACACTTTATAAAAAGAGAAACGTTTTCTTGTAAATCTTTATACCTTGAACTCTCGGATATCCTTCAAGTCCCGCTGCAGATCCTCCATTGTCATCTTTGCGCAAACGTGCTGCCATTCATATTGTGACAAGACTTTCTGCAAGTGCATGGATTTATGCAAAGCCGCCAGTTTGCGTTTTCCAGTTTCGACAATACAATCGTTGACCCGTAAAAGTTCGTCGCACGTAACGAGAACGGCGTTTGCATAGTCAGAGGGACAACCTCGCAGCGGTACCTCGATCTGGCCCATTTTTAAGACGAGTTGAATCTCCATTTCCTGCGAGAGTTGCATCAAGGATTTCTCCCTGTCATCCAAGCTGACTTTCTTGCATGCTACGGCGTTATCAGCTGACTGCATCGCTTTCTGATAAAACAACAGCGTCTGCTCCGCTTCGGCCACCTCTACCGCGCAACATGTTACCTTCGACATTATTCGATCTTTTTGGCAATGTTACATCTTCTCTTTTTTAAAGTCAGTTTAAAAAGTCGTTATACAATTATACATGAAAGAGAAAATAAAACCTATGCTATTCTATTTTATCTCGAAACTTTTAAATATTATATCAATAAATCGAAATTAACATTTTTTTATTTTTTATTTTTGAATAACAGATAAAAATCTTCAACCTAATATAACAATTATTATTCATCAAAAAAGAAATCCGACTAAACCTACAAAAATTTGAATATTTATCTAATTTAAACCTGACCTCTATTCTCTTTAAAACAGTTTCCTTTTACATTTATAGAGTAATCCGCCGCTTCCGCCATGCCAAGCGTTTTCTAGAAATCTTCATCCTTAAATCGTGTTAAGTAGCTTTTGTGATTCAGCTTGGATGTCTTTGACTGAAGTTTTCGGTCTTTTGAGACAAACGTCTTCACGTAACTCAAAATTATTTTGAAGGGGATAGAAGTCAGATTTAAATTATCTAAATATTCAAATTTTTATAGTTTGGTTTCTTTTTAATTGATCTGTATATGTCATACATATACGCAGGACAATCGTATATATTTTCATAAATAAGTGATTATTTCTCTTTTTTCCTTACCTTCACCTCCATTTCAACCTTCATCCTCCTCAATCTACACATCACTTGCCAATATTCAACGTTAATTTGCGGTGGTAAATTTCGAGGCATTGAATCCAAAGCATCCATGCCTTTGAGGAAATCCAGGCATTCGTGTGGTAAGATGTCTGACTTCTCACTACTTACGACGCATTTCGTTACCTCTGTCAGATACGTGACAGACGTGGTAGTCAGTCGACCAGCCCTGGGCCGCTTCTTGTAGTGCCTGAACAAGTGTTCTACTATCGGCTGCTTCACCTCTGCGAATTCACCGCGGAACTTGGCCTCCTGACGTTTATCCGCCTTGCAAAGGTTGTCATATCGAACTTTTAGCTCTGACACGACCATCTCCAGCGAATTGCATTCCTCGGCGAGTCTGCGTGCCTCTTGCGTTGTTGGTGCTAACTCCTCGTCAGTGAAACGAGCGATTTTTTCTTTGCCGTCAACCATAGTGCGGTGTCTTCGAATCGCATGTAACCTTGTCAGTCTTTCCTGAAGGATTGCACTTTCAATTTGTATCTTCTTTAATTCCAGATCTTTTAACTTGTCGTTGAATGCGGCGATGTCTCTCTGCAAGGCGTCTAAAATGTTTTACTTATCTCAATGAAAACAGCATACAGTATACAGATTATTTTTAAGACACTTATTCTATTTTAATGAACACGTTTATAAGTTTATTTTTAAATGGCTCGACTGACCTTTTGTTTCTACAATATCAGCCTGCAAGGTAGCTTTATATTTTTCTCGTTCTCTTTGCAGCACTTGCACTTTGGACTTATACGATGTGATAATTGCGATATCCTCTTCGGTATATTTCGAAGAATTCTTCGTAATTAGACAGTCTGGCACAGGTATTTCTTTTTTTACTTCATCTTCCCATCTTAAGAATATTTTTTAAATTTTGAATGTTAAATATCAAATTTTTGTTAGAAAATATACAAAAGTCTATTTGCATTAATCCTTGTGCAATTATTTCTCAAATTTTGATTGACTTACTTAAGTTCTAATACACCATCCATCATTTTTTCAAGAGCTATTTTATAAAAATTACTGGTATTTTTGTCTTTACTCTTATCTTCTCCATCCTCAATTATTTTCAATTTTTTTTGTTGTGACTTTTTAAATACTTCGTGATCTTTTACGGTAATTACGTAGTCAGGTATTTCGTCGACATTCCAAGAAGGAGTCTCGATTGGTTCCAAAACGGAATTTATTTTAAACATCGTTTTCAATTCAGACGCGCAATATTGAAGCCTGTCGATGCGTTCCTTTGCACATTTTAATACGCATTCCTTTGCGCGTTTCATTTCTTCGAAGAGCTTATTAAAATGCAGCTGTTTAAAAAAATTCGATTTATAGAAATTTGAAAATAATTGTATATATTTACCAAAAATATTTACTAAAAAAAGTAATTTTGATATTACGTAAGTTTTTATGATAAAGTAATAATTAAGTATAATTATATCTAAATATTAGTATTGCTTAGTATAATTAAGTGTCAAATAGATTTAAGGCAACTGTACTTTTAATTTACGCTCTCGATTTTCAATGATAACGTCTTTCTGCAGGATAACTTCGAGATTGCTGTCACATGGAGTCAATAGCTGATGTGTTGAAGTTGTGCTTTCATCCTCAATCCATTTATGCGTTGTGATACCCGATATGCACAATTTTTCATCATCATCTGCGAGTGTATGCCATCTCTTAGCTGTTTGATATGTTTTGCTTTCGGTCTTAGTTATTGGGGATTCTTTATCAGAAATTACTGTAGATTCTCGTTTTGAATCATTTTCTTTATCTACTAATCCATCATACACATCATAACTAGAAAAATTGTTATTCTTTATAATATTTTAATAATATCTTACATTCGTAAACTTATAATATATAATATTTGCTTCTATAAATTCTTAAATACATTACAACATCAATTAAATTATTACATTATTTAACATATATTATAGTAAGAAAATAGAGAAGGTATTTATTACGATTATTATTAATTACCAGAATACGAAAAATGATTAATAAAGAAATAAAAAGATAACAGACAAAAATAGTACCTGTACAAAAATTCTTCAGTATCCGAAGAAAGTTTATCCCACTCCTTCATCTTTTGAGTCGATGCGACGAGAGGATAATTTTGAACGGTTGTATCACCACCAATTGATCTGAGAGCACATGGTTTAACTTGCAGCGGTTCCCAGAATATTTCACATAGATTCGATGCCACCTGATCTCGTTGAGCGCAATCTTCTTCAAGGTTTTGATGCAACTTGTCTCGTTCAAGTCGAGCCTCTTCTATTCTCCGCTGTCGAGCCTCGCGATCCAAATCGAAAGCCGAGATCGGCAAACGGGCATCCAGTGGTTTGCTTTCGTTTATATCGAGAAGCTTACATATCTATTGCAAAACTTATTTTAATCCTAGACCACAAAATTAAATCCTAAAAAAAAGACATTACTTGCGTTTTAATTTTCTCGAGATTGGCTAAGATAGAAGCCTGTAGAGGTAGAGCTTCCTCGTGTTCTGCTTTCAATTTAGCGGCGATTATACTATCCAACCAGAATTTTTTTCCTTGATCACACTGTTCGTTTGGATCAGAAGTAAAATCCTCGATCGTTAAATGCACATTCATAGTTTCGGTTTCTGTTAAATTTGTTTTTGTCTCTGATAAGCTGTCATACAATTAAATTAATTTATATCCATTTTTATAAATGATTTTGTTAATAGAGATTTCAAGGAACAAATAAAGATAAAATACCGAATTCGATTGGCAACAAGATCGCCGTTTCTACCAAGAGAAACGATCATTTCTCCAAATTGCGAAGAAATTGCACGTTTCACGCCTCCTTGAGTACGATGGTGTGGCATAAAAATTGCAATCACTTTGCGAAGTTCCATGTTATCTCTGACTATAATCAAGCCATCGTATCCATATGTTACAATTCGAGAATCGGTTACATATATTCCAATGTTTCTCAGCTGATGCATGGATAACAATGCATCAGTGAGAACGATATCTTGAAAATCATTCTGCATAAAAGAAAATTGATGAATTAATTTTTGTTACAAATTTAAGTAAAAAAATTCAGGATGAAAATTAAAATAAAGATTATACCTACAGGGTGTCCAAAAAATCGAAGCCAATACTTTAGGAGGTGATTCAAGAGCCAAAAAGGAGGAAAAAAGCTATATAAACATAAGTTCGGAAATAAGTCGTTTCCGAGTTATAACCACTTTTATGTTAAAAAATTGAAATTTATATTGTATATATATTTTTCATAAATTAGAATTAGAATTTATTTCACAGTGTTTCAACATAATTACATGTTTTATTTTTAAACTTTTTATTTTTTAATTTTCCGGTATTTGTAAATATGGTTACTGCATTATTTTTGGATAAACATAAACAGGTTAAATAGAGTTAAATAAAATGTGTAACAGATTAAATTAAATGTTCAAAATGACCACCTTCAGCACGTATGCAGACTCTTATTCTTCTATCAAAGGAATTCCGAACTCTTTGAAAAACAGTTGGATCCCTCCTTATTTCTTCGAATCCGTGGATTATTCTTTGTCTTAAGTCAGCAATATTGGGCTCATTTCTGTAAACTAGTGACTTTACGTGACCCCATAGATAAAAATCAAGTGGATTCATATCTTGTGCTCTTGGGGGCCAGGCAATCGGACTCCACGCCCTATCCATCTCTGCCATAATTTCGATTTAAATACGTAAAGTCACTAGTTTACAGAAATGCGGTCAATAATATATTGCTGATTTAAGACAAAGAATAATCTACGGATTCGAAGAAATAAGGAGGGATCCAACTGTTTTTCAAAGAGTTCGGAATTCCTTTGATAGAAGAATAAGGGTCTGCATACGTGCTGAAGGTGGTCATTTTGAACATTTAATTTAATCTGTTACACATTTCATTTAACTCTATTTAACCTGTTTATGTTTATCCAAAAATAATGCAGTAACCATATTTACAAATA